TAGCGAATGTTTAACTTGAATTGCATGTCACACTCGTCTTTCAACTGACATGGAAATATGCTCCAAGACTTGATAAGCAATGGAAATGTTCCAACAATTGGAGTTTAAAAATGCGTATGTACACATTATAAAGCCAACACTTTATTGTTCCTTTGCATCTGGCCTACAGTCTATAACGTTTCACAGAAGCTCTTACCAGCAGCCTTTAATAACACAAATTTCATTCATGAAAGTTGGGTGCAGTGTTGGATAGGCCCACAAAGCAGTTGACCGATAGGAAGTACTGCACCGAATCCTCCTTCACCAAGCAAATGTATTTACGTTGGGCTGCATGATGGGGGTTGTGACAAGTCAAGGATATCTAACCACACTTTAGATCTAATCATTTGAAATAGCGGTTAAGTGTTTATAAATGCCCAATAAATAGGTAACTTGCATCTGTTTTTTAAAAAAAGGACGTATGCACGCAAAGTCAGGTGATCAGTGATGACACGAGGTTTGAAAGATTAAATAGGGATATCAAAATATTTTCAGTTGAAGGCAGGGAATGTCAACCATATTTGTTTCATTGAGGATCATCAACGTGCCTAAGGCTCTACAGCCTTTTTACACACAATTAATGCAATCCCATTTCTTCAGCACAATAGTATTAAACCATGCTCACTTAGTGCAAGGGTCAAGTGGAGATATATACTACTTTTGTAACCACGAATGGCTTACTCTTTTAAAAGGCAGCATTTCAAAACGTCCAAAATTTCTCAATTTCTCAAACGTAGTCTTTAATTGTGAAGCCGCTTTTTCTGTAAGTTCTTTTTTTTCCCCAGAATTATATTTTAACAGCCGCGGAAAGCGGTTTTGCAAAAGTTAAAAACCGAACTCAACAATTGCCAAATTCTCAATCCTCCGAAATATTCGTATGAATAATATAACAATAATCCTTGCACGTGATACATCTCAAAACGCTTCGCGGGTTATACTGTAAAGTGGTGTGTCTGTGGGTATTTTGTGGGCGACGTTTAATGGGGCTATTTTCATTTTCAATTGGAATTATACCCGAAAACCTCTTACGAGAAACCGCCTTGAAGCCAACTCGGTTATACAGTAATAATTTCTCAATGGCAATTGTTGGCATTGGAGTATGTTTGATGTGGCAGACGAGGAGCGAAATTGTGTGCGTGTAATCACTGTAATGTTATGTACTTGTCAGAACCGAGCAGCGAACTGTTTACCAAACAGGTTGGACTGCTTCTCGTTGTTCGCCGGAGCAGTCTGCATATAATTAGGAAAATACAATATATCCAGTGCCCTCCATCGGTCTGTATATTTCACGCGGAGATCGCCGGACGCGTTTGAAAAGGAAGGTTTTGCGACAAGTTGCAGGGCTGCTGCAGAGATCGGGACGGAAATCTGTAGCACGTAAACGTCAATGCAACGCAAACGTTTCTATTCGTTTGATGCCCATCTTTGCCGTAGGCGTCAATCAGTAGTCAAACAGCACTTCGTATACTGTAGACTAGTTTGTCAATACCCCGAGGCTCAACTGAAAACCGAGCGGTGTATTTTTTTTTATTCCCGTGTGTTTCTGTTCAAGTTGTTTCCTATTTTGAAAATCTCACTGCATTATTTCGGCACAGGCCAGTAATGGGACATGTCAGTATTTTATTATGGTTTCGGTGACAGAAACAACAGGCATCAGACCTGAAGGGTAGTCTCTGTTGATTCAATTTGTGACTGTCGATTCAGTGCATCTGTATTAAATAAGATCTCAGACTGACGTTTTATACCGATAGGTTTAAATGATCGCAACCTCCACACCTTCAAATTTGGGTTTCGTGTCTCGGGTTACTTTATTTGAAACTGACTAATAGACATGGATTATGAGACTCGAGCTATTTTACACCGCATCACAATAAATCTGTTCATTTAGCTGATGGACTTGTGGTGGAGTGCTGTATCTATTCGGAAGTAGCAGTTACAAAATGCATCACCAGTAAGTAAGGACACTATGTACCACTAAGCGAGCCATACACTCCTCATCTTTAATCCCCACGTAATGATGGATTTGGGAAACATCGCAAATTATGCGGTAGGCAGTTGCTTTTATAGCAACAAAGATAGCTCTATCCCTCGCGCGAAAAAAAAATATGAATCACACTTTGTCAGTATGTTTGGACAAAGTTGCATTTAGCTGTCAGTAAAGGGGATAGAGTCAGTGCCCTGTTCTCAAGAGCTGTCTAAAGCAATAATGTGTACAGTTGGTGCTTGCAAAACACTGCGTGCAAGAGAGAGGGTCAGGGCAAACCCCGACTCAATGGCGCATCAATCGCTTAGTTGATCTCATTTTGCATCCGGTTCTGTAAATTACTGAATTAAAGACAATTTGTAACCCATTGGTTGTTTAAGAGATAGAGATGTTGGGGCCCCGGTAAGTATCCAAGCGATTCGGGAATGAGAAACGAATGTCGTCGGTGCAGAAAAAGTTGGGGTGAACTGAAAAGATAAATGGTCCTGTCAAACGTTTCCGTAAGTTTCTCTCATGTCACTGCAGGCAGGAGATTCCCCATCCCTCCCCCCACTAACGACAACAAATTGCATTCACATGACACCCATCACGTCGGGAGGACGTCCTCAGGCGCTGGACGCCCGCAATAAAATGAAACGGTGGAATCGCTGCTCAACTGAACCGAACAGAACAACAGGCACGGTTTTTCAATCATAGCGAATTTTATTACTTAAGAAATAATGCAGAGTGCACGATTGATTGGTTTTTTTTTAAAAAAAAGAGAGAGGATACAGCTTCCGATGTGGTATCCTGAAACGCGCTTTTGCATTTGAATTTTGTACTGAAATACCCTTTAAACATTCATATTCGCTTTGACTCTGGATGAATTCAGGAACAATATCAATAACTAGTTAAAGTCACATACTGCTGTTTGGGAGGGGAGAGGGAGAGACAGAGAGGAGACTTTGCATAGGTTCGCCTATATTAATTACTACGAATTATCAAGAGTAGAAAGTGCTGGAGTCTTACCCCTGTACAGCTGACATAATCACTTACATAATCACCCAAATGTTTGGGTCGGAGGCAAATTATCTTCACATCATCACCCCCCCCAAAGCAGTCTGCAAGAAATTGTTTAAATGGCTTTTGCTCTTCGCTCTTATCCCGGGACCAGTAAGAATCACAAAATAAACAACGAAAAAAAAATAATATTTGCACTTAAGAGATTTAAAACCTGCAGTTTCTCTAGGGATCGTACATTCAGCGAATGGCATACACACATACATACACAAACACACACACACACGTACACACACGCACACACACACGCACACATACATTATTTCTCCAAAAAAAAAAGAAAATGTTAAAAGAGTCCGAACAACGCTAAACTGTGAGATGCTCTTCAGTGAAGCTTATGAAATGACAAGGTCCGGAGCACAGTCTCGACGTGCTCCTTTACAACGCAGTCTTTTCTTTAACCATTTGACTCGAGATTTCGAATTAAATATCAAGGACATGGATACCATGGAAACTCCGTCTGCTGAGACCAGTCTGCAGCCTTTAACTTAAAACCAACGCCAATAAATTACTGTGCTTCTAAAATAGCGTGGATTTGAAACTTTGGTTGGGTGTCGCTGTTATTTTTTTTTTGGTGGGGGTGGGGGTGGGAGGGTGGGGTGGGGGGGGGGGGGGGGGTTTGGACCTGATCGTGATTTACTTATTGAGTTCCTGTGCAAGTGGTCACTGTCCAGGCGGGCAGGCAATAGGTGAAGGGGTAGTACTGATAGGAGGGCTGCAGCGACAGCAGTGAAGGTCTGAGCAGTTCTCCCGGACCGTACTGTCTTTGATCGTCCCGGATTAACACTTTCACCGCCACTTTCTTTGCCGCCGGAACCGAGGCCATCAGATCGGCGGCTAACTGCCGGCGCTTGGTCTTGTACCTGCGGTTCTGGAACCAGATCTTGACCTGGGTTTCGGTGAGTTTCAGGGAGGAGGCCAGGTCTGCGCGCTCGGGTCCCGACAGGTACTTCTGGTGGTTGAAGCGGCGCTCAAGCTCGAAAACCTGAGCGTGAGAGAAGGCGGCCCGGGAGCGCTTCTTCCTCTGTTTGGGCTGATCCGGACTCTGGTCGGACTTCGAGTCTTCGTCAACTGGGCTCGGAGCTGGGGAATGAAGGCACGTTTGATTAAATGCACACTATCTGTCTGTCTGACTATATCTCCGCTCATCTTCGCTGCTCCCGACAGTGGAACGCAGGCGGATGGAGAATAAATCCGGACTGTGCTGCACATATCGCCCCCGGGGACTGTGGAGCGAATCGCCGACATCCAGTTTCAGAGAGAGAGAGAGACTGAAATGCTGAATTCCTGTGCCTTTGCGTTATGCGACGAAACGCTTTTTAAAAAAAAAACCCCACCCCAATCCCTCGTTTTAAAACCAACAGCTGAAACAGCTGATGCACATTGTGCAACATTTGGGGACTTATTAAAGTGTTTTGTTACCTGACAGGTTCTCGGACATCCCCCCGTTGCACAGCGAGTCCTTGCTGTCCTCTCTCTCCATTTCTTCCCTAAAACCCGAGTCCGCTTCCTTCGGGGGTCTCGTCTGTAAGGGACACGCGGCGGAAATCTCCAGCTCCTTCTCCGAGCTGTAAACCCAATGGTTTTTACTGTCATTCTCATCGCTGACCCCCGAGTCGGAGTCACAGCAGAGCTGATCGCTGGGCAGATCCCCCCCTGTCTCGGTTTGAGGAGGAGGAGGAGGAGGAGGAGGAGGAGAGGCGTTCAGCTTGTTGCAGGGATCCAAACTGTCCAACACCTTCCAACAGGTTGCGGGCGAGAAGCGGGACACCTCCAAACTCTTCGGGTGTCGACTTTCATCCTTTCTGGTGAGGATCGACTGGATGGAAAACGGGGTCAAGGTGTTGCCACGCACAGCCATCTTAGCGAAACGCCTTCAACGCGGTATCACAAGTGTGCAAACGCTCAGCTCAGCTCAGCTGGTGTGTGTGTGTGTGTGTGTGTGCGCGTATGTGTTTATATATATATATATATAAGGATATTAAAACAAAATTAACTGCAGTATCCGTCTTTTCCCGGCGGGATGAGGCTGAATGTCATCGCCCTTGCTTGGGTTAGTGTGTGAGTGTGTAAGACAAGATCAGTGCAGGAGCTTGCACACACACTCTGCGATCTCTCTCTCTCTTTCTCTCTCTCCCTTTCTCTCTCTCTCTCTCTCTCTCTCTCCCTTCGTGTCAGTGCTCCTCCGGTGATTGACAGCCGCGCCACACGACACGCGGCATCCCATTGGGTTCTCACAAGGAGGCTTTGCTGGGTCCCTCGGTCTGGTTGGTTTCTTGGCTTCAACCCTTTCCAGGCACCAGACATTGGTGCACAAGACGCGATTCGGAGGAAACTTCTGCAGTCTGGGGGTTTGCAAATCAAAATTCACCGAGACGCCTGCGGCGAGGAGACCCCACGCCCCGCGGTTAGATAACCCACACTTGGATATCAATTTACTTATTATCTGTCGCAACGCCGGACATTCACTCACTTCGTGGCTGTTTGCGGGGCATCGCTGTGCCCAAATTGCCGGCCTGCAAAATGCACGAAAGCAATTGACGGTAAAAAAAAAAATACCCGTCAAGCGTTTTGAGACGCCCTCCCGACCTGGAAGGCGTTGGGGCAAATGCAAGGATTAGTGTCAGTGCTATTTGGGAGTGATTCCTTTGCTTTGCACGTTATTGGGCAACTTCGCTGCACAGCTCTCCTCGGAGTTTAGGAGAGTTGGCACTTGATCATTAAATAGTCGACTTTTTTTTTATTTATGTTTCTGTCTAAAAAAAGCGAATGGATTTGTGCGATTCGCACGTTTGCGCCCCAAATACGATGACGCTATACTTGTGTGGGTACATCCATACGAATAGAGGGAGAGAGAGAACTCTGGTGGGAACTTCCTCGTGATGTTTGAAAGCCAACTTTCGAAATGCACTTCATAAATAATGCCATGTCATAAATATAACAACGGCTTCGATTCAATGTGGGTGTCTGCGAGGTAATTAATATTGTAAACATGTCCCCACTGTGACAAGAGTGTCAACCACAGAGGTTAGGAGAGAGAGAGAAAAAAAAACACCTAAAAAAAAACAGTCAAATCACAGTGCGTCCATTTGAAAACGTCGGGACAGCGAAGGCAGTAAGTGGGGGGTGAGGGGGGGGTGAGTGTTATTGCATGGGGACTGGGGGGTTAAAAGCAGAACAATGCACACATTAAAACTGTAAAGATAAACCGTCCTTAAGCACAGATTTGCTTCCTGGGGTTTGGCGGACGAGTTGGGTGGTCCGCGTTCATTTCAGCAGCTTTAGCAAACCCCAAATGGCCTTCCTCTCGCGGCCCCAACCAATAGAGACGGGGGAGGGTGTGGGGTGTGTGTGTGTGTGGGGGGGGGGGGGTCGGCCTGAGAAACCATATAAATTATAACCTGTTGGTTTGTTTGCACAGCAATCACAGCCGCTAATTTATAGGCAGCGCAAAGCATCGCACGGTGGAGGGTTGGACTTTGCTGTTGCCTTTGCTGTTGCTGAAGCCATCTCTCTCTCTCTCTCTCTCTCTCCACCCTCAGCTGTAAGCTGTCCGCGGGCATCGCTCTTAAATCACACCCGATTTAGCCGCACACTAGTAAAATTGCACCGAAAGAGACTTAAATCACTTTAAAATCTAAACACGGAATAGTTGGGATTTTTTTTGTTCTCGCTCTCCCTCTTTATACAGGAAAACAAAACTTCCTTATACAGTGTTTTGAGGAGAGTCGAGCCATTTTTCAGGCGTTTTTGTCGTAAGTAAAATAGCACAGGACGACAAATACCCGCCCCGGGCCCTGGCTCCTGTTATACAGGACATTCAGATTGAATTGTTCCGAATTCTTTATCGAATAAACAGCTTTACACAAACACACACACACAAACACACACACAGAAACACACACACAGAGAAACACACACACAGAGAAACACACACACAGAAACACACACACAGAAACACACACACACAGAAACCAACACACACACAGAAACACACACACACACACAGAAACACACACACAGAGAAACACACACACAGAGAAACACACACACAGAAACACACACACACACACACAGAAACACACACACAGAAACACACACACAGAAACCAACACACACACAGAAACACACACACACACAGAAACACACAAACAGAAACACACACACAGAAACCAACACACACACACACACACACACAGAAACACACACACACACAGAAACACACACACACACACACAGAAACACACACACAGAAACACACACACACAGAAACACACACACACAGACACACACACACACAGAAACACCACACACAACACACACACACACACAGAAACACACACACAGAAACACACAAACAGACACACACACACACACACACAGAAACACACATAGACACACACAGAAACACACACAGAGAAACACAGAAACACACAAACACACACACACACACACAGAAACACACACACAGAAACACACACAGACACACACACAGAAACACACACACACAGACACACACACACAGAAACACACACAGAAACACACACACACACACACACACACAGACACACACACACAGAAACACACAAACAGACACACACACACAGAAACACACACACACACAGAAACACATACACACACACAGAAACACACACACAGAAACACACACACACAGAAACACACACACACAGAAACACACACACACAGAAACACACAGAAACACACACACACAGAAACACACACACAGACACACACACACAGACACACACACACACAGACACACACACACAGAAACACACACACAGACACACACACAGAAACACACACACACAGACACACACACACAGAAACACACACACAGACACACACACACACAGACACACACAGAAACACACACACAGACACACACACACACAGAAACACACACACACACACACAGAAACACACACACAGAAACACACACACACAGAAACACACACACACAGACACACACATACACACAGACACACACATACACACAGAAACACGCACACACACACACACACACACACACAGAAACACACACACACAGAGAAACACACAAACAGACACACACACACACACACACAGAAACACACACACACAGACACAGAAACACACACAGAGAAACACACACACAGAGAAACACACACACACACAGAAACACACACACAGAGAAACACACACACACACACAGAAACACACACAGAAACACACACATAGACACACACACACACAGAAACACACACACACACACACACACAGAAACACACACACACACACACACACAGAAACACACACAGAGAAACGCACACACAGAGAAACACACACACACACACACACACACACACACACACACAGAAACACACACACAATGAAAGACTGGGGAGGTGTTTTGGTAACCGAGCTCTCATCACTTGGCACATTTGCAAACAATGCAAATCGATTTGGCGTAAAAAGAAAAGTGCGAGGGATGAAACTAAAGACGGAAACACACAGCTTCTTAAGTGCTGCGTATTCTGGGCTCTGACACGCAAGAGCAAAAAGCCGTGACAGCGTCCTCCTGAGTGAGTGAGTGAGTGAGTGAGTGAGTGAGTGAGTGAGTGAGCGGATTGTGTGTCTGAGTCGCTCTCAACAACCCCCCAAACTCTGTGCAAAGTGACCACAAAGTAAAAGGGGGACAGTTGACTTAGGATGAAGCTGTGGGGCAACACTCCCCGATAGCTCACGCTGATCACTTACAACCAGATACACCTTCCAACTTTATTCACATCCAAATGATTCGGGTGTGCATTTACCTCCGCACTACACAAGCGACCCGTCGTGGGTAGTGAAGATGACAGTACGTGTTGGGAGAGAGATATTGGCTTCAGTCATTTGGATCGGGAAAATCAAAGTGTCCCAATTGCAAAACTGGCGGGACACTTAAAACAGTATTTTACAATATTGTGAATGTCGGATACCTTTAAAGGGGGAGCATTCAACCGCCCTGAAGGGATCAGCAAAGGTTATTTTAGCAGTAGTTGGGACACCGAAGACTAAATGGGGTTTGTTTGAATTACAGCCCAGCTGTAGCAAACTGCAGCTTTGGTCCATCATCCCAGCCTTAACTCTGAATCTGACAAGCATCCTCTGTACCCTTCACACGACTCCGATCTAAAACTACTTCACCAACCTCCCCCCCCCACACACACACACATATAAGGTTATTTGACTTCGAAGTTCAAACTTCAGCCCAAGGAAAACGAGCGCATCTAAACGTTGCTAACGCAATTATAACGCTGAAGGTCAGAGCTGCATCATTGATTGTTTATTGAAAGAATCACAGTTTAAGCCTTTGCACTGTAAAGAACAGAGAGACTAATAATAATGATAATCCTTGCATTTGATATAGCACTTTTCACGACTTCTAGACGTCTCAAAGTGCTTCACAGAATATACTGTAAAGTGAATTGACTGTATGTTTGTGGGTGACATATTGTGCACAGCAATGTCCCACAAACAGTCTGGATTGAGTGACCACATTATTATTGTTTTTTTCTTGAGGGATTATTATCAGGCGTGTGGAGTAAGGAAACTTGCCCAAGGTTTTACCCTACTTGGAATTGAATTATTATTGTTTTTTTGAGGGATTATTATCCCCGGAAAAGCAATCCATCTATCGACTAACAACCGGGTTCCTACTTACTGCCAGGTAAACAGAAGTGTGTGGAGTAAGGAAAGTTGCCCAACATTAAATAACTACTTTTTTAAAAAAAATTAAAAGAAGGTCAGAATATGCCTCAGTTGTGAAGACATGACTCATATGCTGACAGATCCATGGTGTCAGTAATTTGCACCCTACAGATCTCCAAACTTTTGAAGTCCCGAGTTGCGTTGTTTCCATGCGCCATCTA